ACTATAAAAAGGATTTTTTTTTGTAGTATAAGGAAGGAGAAGTTTGGGGAAGCACAAGAAAAGAAAATGGCATAAGAGGATGGACAAAAAGAAAGTTATGGAGAAGGAAGAGGAGGAGGAAGAGGAAAAGCAATGGGAAAGGAGGAGGAGGAAGAAGAGAAAGAAGAAAGAGGAAGAGATAGAGGAAGAGAAGGAGGAGGAAGAGAAGGAGGTAGGGCATTTCCAGTTTGGGCAATTACATATAAAGTTATGGACATTCATTTGCAAATGAAACTTGTATTTTTCATTGCTAGGAGATCAACAACCAAGAATCTAATTACTGGATAATAGAGTTTGACTTATTTTGTTTAATAAGGCATTTTCCAAATATTCAGGGTGACCAAGCCATACCACTTCCCCACCAGCAAAATATGAGAGCTATTTCCAATCTTACAAGCACTTAGTATTGTTTCTACGCACAGTTGAGTTCTACAGATAGGGACAATGACCTATCCCTGTGGTTTCCATTTGCATTTTCCTAATGTCTAATGATGTTGACCATCATTAGATGTGCTGATTTTCAATTTCTGTAACTAGTAAAATGTCTGCTGGTTTCTTGGCCCACTTCTAACTGAAATGTTAGTTTCTTCTTACTGTTCGGTTTTGAGAGCTCTCTATTTACTAGATGCAAAGTATTTGTCAGAAATGTGCTTTGCAAAGTTTGTTCTTTCATTTTGCATTTAGCAGTCCTTAGGGGGAAAAAGTTTTAAATTTTGATCAAGTCCAATGTATGAGTTTCTATTTTTCTTAACTATGCTATTGGCATCCTAGATAAGCACACTGCTTAGTCCTGCCCCACATATTTTCTACACATTTGTTTTCAAAAGTTCTACAGTTTTTCTGGGCGCTCAGGGCTCACACCTATAATCTTAGCTACTCAGAGGGGTGAGATCTGAGGATCGTGGTTCAAAGTCAGCTAGGGAAGGAAAATACATGAGACTCTTATCTCCAATAAACTACTCAGACAAAGCCAGAAGTGGCATTGTGGCTCAAGTACAGAGCATGAGCCTTGATCACACAGAGACTCAGAGATACCACCCAAGTCCTGAGTTCAAGCCATAGGACCAGAAAAAAAAAGAGATCTACAATTTTGCCTTTTATATTTAAATATATGATCTAGTTTGAATTATTTTAGTAAGTTATGAGGCTTAATTAGGTTAGGTTCATTTTCTTTTGCCTCTGATTATTCAAATGCTCTAACACTAGTTGTTGAAAATAGTTGTTGCCTATGAATATTTTGTTGTATATGAAAAGATGTTACTTCTTTTACTCTTTATGGTGGTAATATATACTTTTCCTGAGTAAGTCTTCCATGGCTTAGTCTTTCCAGGGACCTAGCAATACTTTTTCTCCTTCAAAGACTTTTTTCCTTTATCCAAAGAATTTTTGCTCTATTAATTTTTTCTAATGAAAGTTTATTCTCTATTTATGTCTTGTCTTCTTTTATTATTTCCTTCTGTCTTCATTCTTTGAGCTTAATATGATATTCTTTGCTGGCTTCTTAAGCTGGATAATTAGATCAGACTTTATTCTTTTCTAAAACACAAAGCTATAAATTTTGCCCTGTGTGAGTCTTCTTGTATATACAAGTTCTGATATGCCATGTTGTTATAATCATTTTGTTTAAAATATTTTCTTATTTCCATTATAATTTGCTGCTTGAGTCATTGGATAATTATAAATAAATTGCTCAGTTTCTAAATACATGAGGATTTCCTTATTTTTATTGTCTTGTTATTATTGATTTCTAGCCTATTTCCAATGTAATCAGAGAGCAAGGTTTTTTTTATTTCAATCCTTTGAAATTACTTTGGTACAGAACTCCTTTGACAAGTCTTCCAAGTCACATGAACAAAGAACATACACACTGCTCTGTGTAAATACACTGGTTTAATTGTGTGAAATGAGTCAAAATTGTTCTTCGTGCTTTCAAATATTCATATCTCTACTCAATATTTATGTCTTTAATCTATTACTTTCTGAGAAAAGTTATTTCAGACTTGCAACTATGATTGTGGGTTTATCTGTTTCTTTTTTACATTTTTTAAATCAAATGTTGCTTTATATATCTTAGAGCATATTATCGATTATGGCCAAATTCATTGTGATTGCACTAGCCAACTGAATTTACTTTGTTATAACATAAGTAGTCCTATCTATATCTGATACTAGTACCTCACAGTGTACTTTATCTGATATTAAAACCAACATTGTTTTTCTTTAGATTAGTATTTGCCTTTTATGTGTTATCTCATCCTTTTACTTTCAACTGCCTTGACATTTTATGTAATATACATCTTTTACAAATAGTCTAAAGCTAACATTTTCAGTCTGACATTTTTTGAGTTTGAATTGGTATCTTTCGTTCATCTACATTAGTAGTTACAAATGTGGGAAGTTTGAATCAATACCCTACAATTTATTTCTCTTACTTGTTATTTATTTCTGTTTTCTCATCCTTTGTAATCTTGTCTGGGTTATTTCCTCATTTTCTAGTTATGATAATTCAACTGTTCTATAATAGACACTAAAGATCATAACATGAATCTTTACTTACTAGGGTCTAAAATGACCTAAACCAGGTATGAGCAACAGAGGTTGTTAAGCCTTTTAAACTCTGAAATTTTTCTTATATTTTAAAGCCAAGAAATATGCCATCAACACAAATAATGCCCTGCCTTCATAGGCTCAGATCACAAAAAATATCATAAGTTTTCTAATTCCTCACAGGCTTAGATCCAGGAATAGAAGGACTTGTGGTAAAAAAAAAATAGCTTCATACGTATTGTGTACTATATCCAAGAGCGAGAACCAACCCAGATACCGCTCAATGGACAAATGGGTCAAGAAAATGTCATATATATGAATACACACACACACATATACACAAAAATGTGAGATACACACACACACACACACACACACACACACACACACACACACAATGGAATTCTACTCCTCCACCAAAAAGAGTGATATTGTACCCTAGTACCCTTCAAAAGGAAATGGAAAGACTTGGAAAAAAGTTATAGTAATTAAAAGAAGTAAGCCAGACTTTAAGAAACAGATTGCATGATATCCCTCATTTGTGGTAACTAGCATGAGCCTATAAATCTACAAGTGAACACTACACTAGGACATGATAAATCATACAGGTTTCTAGAATATTCACACGGTGAAACTAAGTGAGGATATTCTTAGGAGAGTATCACAAAGGCCCAATAGCTACATGCATATGATCACATAAAATATTCATGGAAATGAACTCCAAGAAATGGAAACAAGAAGATTTTTTCTTTGTTGCTGTTTTTGTTTTCTGTACTTTTCGTCTTGTTCGTAAGTTTCTCTGCCCTGAGATTAAGGGAGGCACAGAAAGGTTAGGGAAAGGGTGATCAAATGCAGTAGTAATACACACTAGACACTATATTGAAAATGAACTGTACAACTTGTAGATGGGGAATGGAAGGGAAAAACTGGGAGAGGGCAAGGCAAAGGATGACACTGTTAAAAAGAAATATACTTGTTACCTGAATGATTTAACTGTAACCCCTCTGTATATCACCTTTACAATAATAATAATATATATATATAAATTTTTTAAAGAGAACTGCCTATTCCTAAAACTGTTTCAGATTCTATAGAGTTAATAACACCCAGTCATCCTTACTAGAAAAACTCTTTTTTCAGATCCTTAAACAGTTAATTTTACTGTCTCCTCCATTGCCTAAGGCATAGATACATCACTATCAAGACACATATATATCTCCTAGTATCTTTTTGAGGGTCTAGTCTATGTAAGAAGCCCACCAGTGTTCTGATATATATACACAGATATACGCACACAAATAAACACATGTAACTCTCAATATCCATCCATATTGATATATGATATGTATCTATATATACATGTATATATGCATACATGTGTATATACATATGTCAATGTGTCATATATACATGTATGCATATATACATATGTATGTATGGGTGTATATGTATATACATATGTACAAACTAGCTTTGATTAAATAGATAATGCCCCTTGGTGGTAGCTAATTAAGATTTTCTGTACAATAATAGGTAAGACAATTAAAACAGATGGTCTCTCATGTGTATTCAGTAGTTGCACTCAGCATGAAAGTGCCTGCTACTTTCCTAAGTGAGCAAGGAAGTTCTACCTGTCTGAATTTTTCAGAATTCCTTGAGTGCCCAGTCCCAGCAAAATGCCCACCAGATTTTGATACAGTGATTTTTTTTTGGCCTGACCTTGAACTCCTGGCCTGGGTGTTATCCTTGGGCCTCATTGTGCTCAAATCTAGTGCTCTACCACTTAAGCCATAATGCCACTTTCAGCATTTTCTGAATAGTCTGAGTAGTTTATTGGAGATAAGAGTCTCATGGACTTTCCTGCCCAGGCTGGCTTTGAACTGTGATCCTCAGATCTCAGCTTCCAGAGTAGGTAGGATGACAGATGTAAACCATGGTTCCTGGCTTGGTACAATGTATTTTGTTAACCAGCTTTTACCATCTAGCCATGTTTTTCATAGATTATCCACTGTGAGCTCTCTAAGCTTTAAATAAATCTCTGTTTTTAGTATTTTTTTATTGTCAAGCTAATGTACAGAGGGGTTAGAGTTACATAAGTAAGGTAATAATTACATTTCTTGTCAAACTTGTTACCCCTTCCCTCATTCATTCCAACAATTTATTTGTATTTAGATTATAGAATCCATCTAGATTATTCTGGGAGGTTTATACTGTTTCCCTAATGTCTCTTATTTGCCTGCACTGAAACATTTGATAATCTCCTAAATAGCTTTTTTAACCCAAAGCTGTGAACTGTTAATTCATTGAACACATTTATGTTAGTCTTTCTCCCACCCCACCCCCACATTCACTTACACAAATGCCTTTAGACCTCCTTGACTTTTCTACTGTATTTGGTTTTTAATCTCACTTACCAAGGTGGCCGAGAGCTTCCTTGTCCCAAGGCCAGGTGGCTGCACCTGCCAGGTCTTCCCGCACTGAGCTGGCAAAGTAGATGTTGAGGAAATGAGTACTGTTGAGCTTCAGGGTCTCCTTTAGCTCCTTCATGCTCATATATACCCTGGAGAACATGAGAGGAGAGAGAATGTCACATGTAGAGAATAACACAGTCAGACTTAGTTACTCTGGTGGCCTTTCCAGACAGCATACCCCTTTGAAAGGACAGAAACAGACACTGAGTTCAGCCTATCATGAGGACCACTAAAAAATAGACACTAAAACGCACATTTGATATATTTGTTCCAAGATAAAGAATACTCTGCCTTAAAAAAAAACACTTCCATATCTCTGTGAATACTTGGTATTTGACATCATTCTTAATTTTCCACTTATACCCAAATTCTTTCTTCAAGATGAATCTAATGATATTACTATGTTTTTATTTTTTTGCCTTGAGAATTTTCTCCAGGCCATGCATAGTGAAAGAAAAGCTTCCAGCTCTTAGTCTCTGCGTCTTTCTAACACAGTGTGGGAGCATTATGATGACCGGAAGTCCCTTTAAATCTCCATTTTGCTATATGCTGAATACATTTATTTTGAGGGATGTGCCAGTACTGAGGCTTAAACTTAGGGACTGGGTGCTGGCCCTCAGTTTGTTTTTTCTTTTGTTTTGTTTTCTTTTTCTCAAGGCTCACACTCTACCACCTGAACCAAAGCTCTACTTCTGGTATTTTGGCAGTTAAAGAGTCTCATGGACTTTGCTGCTGGACTGGCTTCCAACCACGATCCTCAGATCTCAGCCTCCTAATTATCTACAATTACAGGGTTGGGCCACTGGCACCAACTGTAATTTAATGATGATAGAGAGGTTAAAAACAGGAAGAGTTATAGACAGATGGGACATCATAATGTTACCATAAATAATGCAAATAATGTACAGGTGTTCCATTTCTCAACTCTTAAACCATATAAACTCTTGCCCTCACCCCTGTTAATTCATGATACTTTCCAATATCTTTACTGGTAGCCTGCAATGTACTAAGCAATATTATGTTTGTACTCACTTGCAGAATTAAAGGTCTATTAAAAACACATGTCCTACCATCCCCCCCCCATAAAAAAGGAAACATGCATTTGGTCTCTGTAAGCTGAAATAAGTCAAAGGCCTTCATTTTGCAGGCATAAGTCAACCTTAAAATGTTATCATTTGGCTTGGCACTGATGGCTCACTCCTGTAATCCTAACTGCTCAGGAGACCGAGATCTGAAGATCACAATTCAAAGCCAGCCCAGGCAGAAAAGTCCTTGAGATTCTTATCTCCAATCAATCACCAAAAAGCCAAAAGTGGAGCTGTAGTTCAAGTGGTACAGTGCTAGCCTTGAGCACAAAAATGATGGGCCAGTGCCCAGGCCCTGCAAGCCCAGGACCAGTACAAACAAACAAGCAAACGAAAACCCAAAAGCAATGATTTTTAAAAAGGAGGAACTTAGTCAGAGTTCAGATTCAGATTTAGTTAGACTAGAATTAGATTCACTAGCTGTTTCCCATAGGGACCATGAACTGCCATTGCAAGCCAAGGTATGCCTCTAACACAGCTTTAGCTAGGAAGACAGACCACTCCGCACAAGCTGGAAATTCCATTACAGAATGTTCGTGGTTGCAGCTTTGCTAGACCAGCTGCAGGCAAACCCAAACTCAGAAGCTCATACCAGGACAGTGTGACACTTTTCTCTTGCTTTCCCTGCTCCCAATCATATCATTGGTGACATCTATTTAACCCATGAATCTGATGTATTGGCAATGAGCACCCGAAAACTACGGAGTGCCCCACAAAGAGACTGCTTTTGTGTTCATTGGAACCCAAAGAAACAAACAAAAAGATCTTGCTTTCAAACCAAGGATGCTTGGGAGAAAAGAATTTTTAAAGTAGTATTTTTATTGACATAATATCTTGGAAAAATAGCTCTCAACCACAAGAAATCATCTAAGCTCCACAACCTCGCATCAAACATGATCGAAGCGCTATCCCTTTAACTGCTTTCCTGGAGTCACATAGTTTTGAGACCGTTGCTTGGTTTACCCTGGACATTAATCACACTTCCCTTTTCTTTATTGAAATAATTATATATATGTATGTATATATATATACACACACATACATGTTTTACTGATGGTTTGAGTTTATGATATTAAGTAAATCTTCAATGTGAAGAAGAGAAGAGAAGGGAGAAGAGAGGAGAGGAGAAGGAAAGAGAAGAGGAGATGGGAAGAGAAGAGGAGAGGAGAAGAGAGGGAAGTGGAGGGGAGAGGAGAGGAGAGTGGAGGAGAGGAGGGGGAGGGAGAGGGAAAGGAGGGGAGAGGAGAGGAGAAGGGAAGAGAAGAGGAGATGGGAAGAGAAGAGGAGAGGGGAAGAGAGGAGAGGAAAGGAGAGTGGAGGGGAGAGGAGAGGAGAGGGGAGGAGAGGAGAAGAGGGGAGGAGAAGGGAAAGGAGGGGAGAGGAGAGGAGGGGAGGGGAAGGGAAAGGAGGGGAGAGGAGAGGAGGGGAGGAACTCAACATTGGGCCTACTTTCTGCTCTGGGAACTCAGGAAGAAAATGGATACCATTCTCTGTTCCTATTCCAGATTTTATTTTAATAGTTTTCTTTGTTTTGATCTCCCCAACTTCCCTCCAATTCTTCTTTTCCTGGGATGTTTTACTTGAGCTATCTGTGTGATACTGGCTTCCCTGCCACTTACCAGTCTTGGCCACTGATACTTTGTCCTCCCTCAACCCAGCACCTCTGCTCATTTCTCTTGAGCATCCTCCAAAAGACTTCTCCACCAACCTCATTAGTGGGTTCCACTCATCTCCCTTTTCTTTGTTGCCCAATTCCTTCCCCAGTAATAAATCACCCTTCCAGATGAGAGTGTTTATGTCATGCTGGTGGCAAACTGGGTGGGGTTGCTCAAATTCTTGTACTCCACAGAAATATAGATAGAAGTCTGTGTGACTAAGGTTGCAAATACATTGTAAAACACTAGAGACAATTGGAAACAGTTAATTAAATTGATAGGGACAAGTTTTATTTTGCTGGAAGCAAAAACTAGCATCTAGATTATTCTCCGAATCTATGAGAATGAAAGAGTGAAGGTCACTGTCTCTTTTGCATGCAAAGCATTTCAGAAGTCAATCTTAGCTAATGAAGACAAATGCCTTAGTTACTCAGCTAATACGATCAGAGTCTGGCTGAGTGTAGGGAACAATGGGTAGAGTTCTTAGTTCAAAGTTTAACATTTTGCTTTAGAGATTATTAAGAGACAAACAAGTTTATTATTTTCAAGGGAATATATAAATACAGCAAAATCCCTAAGGTTCATAAACTGACCGTAGCCATGTATTAAAAGGGAGAAACTGCATCTGCTTCATGTGTCCCAGAAACTGCCTTTACCTGAATTCTCCATATGAGAACTGGATATATCTTTCACTCTTCTTCCTTCTTCACAAAATAATTTTGAAGTCTTTCACTATTCAACCCCTGGTTAGTCCGTGTGGATTGAGAGTATCAGCTGGCTCAGTCTCCCACTCCACCCCAGTTTCTATCTTTATATTAGAAAACTTATATATTTATGTGAAACAGCCATTTAATCCCAATCTTATTCTTGACATCTTCACCTCTGATGACCTTCCTTCCTTTCTCCTTTGGCCATCCATTCTCATGGCTTTCATTTCTTATTTGTTTCCTTATTTTTCTTTTCTTTGCCTTTTTAAAAAGTTATTTCCTCTCCTCTCTAGGGGCTATCTGAAATACTTAATATTTTTCTCTTGCCTCCATTGGTTCAGTTAACTTATTCCCATGACCTTTGATACATAATGACAATGCCTCTTTCTTTGATAATAAAATAGGGGCATTTCATTGTGAACTCCAACACTCCCTCCAAAACACAAATGAAAGTGTATACCACACACACACACACACACACACACACACACACACACACACACACTTAAACTTACTTCTGTACCTATTTTTAGTCTCTTTCCTTTGGTCCCACAGGATGAGGTTTTCTGAGCAAACTATAACTAACACCCTCTCTTTTCCTTCTTCATTTCCAATTCAAACTTCCTAAGAGAATAATTTCCTCATTTTCTACATAATTCATTCTTCCATAATTATAGCACATCACTCATTTGCATTACTTTATCAAAATCACTTTCATTGACCTTGTCAGTGAAATTCCCATTTTCCTTTCCACAATAGAAAGGTACCAAGTCGCCCTCTTGTTGGAAGCCATTGTTGTGATTTGTACTAATAGTTGCTTCCCCATTCTTTCCTTTCTTAACTTACATTTTACTGTAAAGGTGATGTACAGAGGGGTTACAGTTACATAAGTCAGATAATGAGTACATTTCTTTTTGAGCAGTGTTACCCCTTGCCTGGTTTTCTCTGACTTTTCCCTTCCCAACGCCCTTCCTTCCAAAGTTGTAAAGTTCATTTCCAACATGGTGTCTAGTGAGTGTCACTGCTGAATTGGTTCACCCTTTGCCCCACTGTTTGTTTCTGTGATTCCACTTCTCTTCCCCAAATTAGATATATACAAGACAACATGTACAGAAATAAAAAAAATGACATCAGGAAGTAAACCAAAGGGGAAAAAGGAAGAAATAACTGCAAACTGTACAATTAAAAATATTTTGTTTCCATTTCCTGGAGTTCATTTCAATAAGCATCATTTTATATGCTCATATGCACATAGCTATTGAGCTATTGTGGTACTCTCCTAAGAAAATCCTATACATATTCTAGTTATTACAAATGAGGGAAACAGTGTATGCAGACTATGTTTCCGAGGCTTTCATTTCCTTATGTATGGGGCAATGTCATTCTTTCTGATGGAAACAGAATTCCATTTGTATATATACCACATTTTCTGGAACCATTCATCCACTGAGGGGGATTGATTCCACATCTCAGTTATGGTAAATAAGGCCGCAATGAACATGGTTGTGCTGGTGGCTTTAGTGTGGGATGGTTTGTGGTCATTTGGGTAAATGCCCAGGAGTGGGATTGCTGGGTCATAGGGGAGCTCTATGTTTAATATTTTAAGAAACCTCCATACTGCTTTCCAGAGTGGTTGAATAAG